GGTTCTATAAGATATATAATGTCTAAGCCTTCCCGATCATGTGTAAATATACTCTGATACCGGGCAGAGGTAATAGTAATCCAGATATGGTGTTGGTAAACACAGGGAAAAACTGACAAAGTACCTGTGGCTGAAAGTGATTCCTCTATCCAAATTTGACAGTGGTTTTGAGGACTAGGGACCCTGAGGGCTAGCTTTTGGGGATGTTGACCTAGGTGGCAATCTTCAGAACAGTATACAGGGTGGGTTCTGGTTAGAACTATGTGTCTAGTCATGACTTAGAGGGATACTTAGGATAAGTTAAGGGTTACACCTCCGTACTATCTGTTTAACAGTTTCCTTATACCGGTACTGCAACTTTAAAAAAAAAAAAAAAAAAATATATTTTTTAAACGATAAAAAAAAAACTCTCTTTTTTTTTCAAAAATGCCCAAAAAAACTGAAAGGAAGAATATCAACCGCGGTCACTCTGCATCGCCAATATCTGACAAACTACCAAAAAAGAAACAAAATATATTGCAAACTTTAGACAATAACCTCTCTCTTACTTATGTAAAGGAATCTCTTGTAACTGTCCTTCCAGAAGAGACCAACACCATGAAAGTTGACCCAGTCGATGAAAGTTTGTCCAACAACCTCGACAAAAGAAAATCTCCAGAAATTATTGCCTCAACTTCCCCAACTTCTGAAACTACTACGCCCATACTAATAGTTAATGTCGACGAGTCTTTTGACGCATCAGAAAATCTCTTAGATACTTCAACCATCGGCTTTGATACTCCCTCAACACAAGTCTCAAAATTTTTCACATACATTCAAATGAATAAACTCCTGAGCTCGAACCTCTAAATGAAGATCTCAAAGATCACCAATTTGTGTTACGAAAAATTTAACTCATTTATCATTGCTACAAAAGGAAAACATCCTACTGAGTACAACCAGGCTATTATTAAAGTTGCCTTTTTAAATAAAGTTGAACATGATGAATTTTATAAACTCAAATCTCCCGATATGGTAGATACCACGTTCCAACCCCTTGACATAAAAAAATCTGCATCCTACATTTCCAATCGGTCGATTACAGTAACAGAAATTCCCTTAGACGTCACAGAAAATAGACTACAAATACTATTTTCAAAATTCGGTAATATCGTCTGTTTTGCCATGGAAACTAAAAACCTTTGGCAACGTGCTACAATTACCTTTGATGAAAAAGCTGATTTTGAAGCACTAAAAAAAGGAGACAGAATTTATCTCCTAAACGATATGATCTGATTCCATCCTTGTAACCTTTCTAGAACTGACATCTAAGCTCGCTCTGCCTTCTCAGCTAAACTAACTAATCTACTTAGAAATATTATACCATGTGACCTCCAGGATATTGGCAACATAGTCTCTGCTACTGTGTGGATTATCCCCAGAGCTCATTTGAATTATAATTATTTACAACATGCTTTTTTCTACTTTTCCAACAAAGAAGACACCCTGGCTGCTTTAGGAATAAATAATTTAACTCTTAATAACAAAAAAGTAGAATGGACTGACCCAAAGGCCAAACTTTATGCTATCTGTTTCTCTGTACATCACAATGCTTCTACCTGTCCCAGACGTCGTCAATCTCCAAGGATCGAAATATGCAAAATCTATACCAGCGTTTCCAACCAGCTCAATTCAATAACTACACAGCACCAAAACGTAGTCTTATACGAGACGCTATTCGCGAAAATATCACATTCGCTCACGTGACTAAAACCCCACGATAAAACAATAATTCTCAAGAAAAACCTAAAAGGAGACCTCTCCCTCTTTACTACCAAATACTAAACCCAACGCTTCTCCCAACAGCTCTTCTTCTGATAATCCAAAATTGCGCTAGGCTGATGAACCAATTGATGAGTTCATGGAAACTGAAGTTCTCCTTTTACCTAAATTATATAATGGTACAGCAAAAGGCGGTTCAATTCATGACCCAGACTTCAAACAATTTGTTACCTCTCAACTCACTTCAATTTCCAATGCTTTCTCTGACCTATGTGTCGAATTCAAATTTTCGTAACAACGTCTAGCTGTAGTTGAAAAAGCCCTCCACATTCAAGTCGTCACTCCTGCTGAGATGAATGACTTTAATAATAACCTACCTGATATTGCCACTGAAGCAGATCATAAATCCCCACACATCAATACAGATCTTTGCATCGCTCACTTACAAAAGCAATCAAATGAACAGTTAGTTCTTATCTGTCAAAAACAACAACAACGGATCTCACAATTCACTCCTGTACTCAATAAGTTACTCAGATCTTGTTATGATCTCCAATCTACACTCCTTAACAAATACATTCTCAACAAAAATGATACACAAACTTTCGAACTATTGACTGATGATTTTGACAAAACAATTGAACGCTACATCGGCAGCTTCCCAAATTAATTTATAAATCTATCATGAATACTGTCCCTACAAACTATAATACTACTACTCCTAGTCATCACACTCCTTCTTTACTAAACCTTAGAATCACCACCAAAATGTCCGCTCTCTAATTAGCCAAACAAAACAAAATTACCTTTTTTCTTTATATTCAGTAAATCAATTTGATATCATAGGCCTACAAGAAACTAATTTCAAAGGAATATCATCTATCTTTAATCGCGAATTTTTAACGTTTACTATCTTTTTTAGTAACAACCACAACTCCCGATCAATTGGAACTGGTGTTAGCCTCTCCTTCAGCCCCTTCATTGCTAAACACATTTTCGTTCATGACTCCATGCTAGACAGGATTATTTATGCAAAACTCCAATTTGCTAACAAACAAAAATTATTGGTCGTTAATTGTTATATCTCACCTGCCAACCCTCCTACAGACATCACAAAA